TTGAATGTGACCATCCGTCCCAGGGCACCCCCCTACCCCCACACCTGCCCCATTCTGCCCTTCTGTCTCAGCACCACCTGTCCTTTCTCAGTAGCTCCCCAATCGGACCCTGTCTGATCCTTCAGGTCAAAGGGGACACTTTGCTTCTTCCCAAGGCACTTGCACTGACCCCCCCCCCCGGAAACTTGGCTCCAAAACGCCAGACCCTCTGGAACTGTAGTTAGCTCCCATGACACACTGACCAGATATCCCCCGGGGGAAGGAAAAGATGGGCAAGGGGCTAATTAGGTTGATCTGGAGAAATATGTCTTCCCCTCTCCCTGCTCAACCCACAGATCCACAGAGGACCCTACTAAATTTGTAACCAACACATGACTCACCAGAAGAGGTGTCCACCTGCTCTGATGCTTGTGAGAATAGGGGAGGCCGGAAGGGGGTGTCCTACATGCCTCCTGACAGATGGTGTCCCCAAAAGAGGGATCCGGGTGATAGTCCACAAGCCTGGCTTGGGAACTTGGTTACAGCAACATAGGGGACCTGATCTTTTGGGAGTACTGGCCCAAGGGGGCACCACCTTGACCTATGGTCATGACCCTGTTCCAGGGGTACCTGAATGATCATGAACACCCCTGGAAATCCCACCTAGTGAAGGAGTAGAGCAACCTGGATGTACTCCCACTCTGGCATCCCTAGCTATGTGAAGGTTTTGGAACAGACTTTTGGCTCCCTCCTCTTGTGTGTATTGAAAAATAGCTGCTAAAATTAACTCAGCTCAGGGCCCGCCTTTCCAGATCATTGGAAAAGTTCATCAGTGCTTCTGACCCAGCAGACTGGGTAGTGGTGACACAGACATTCAGGAAAAGGATGCAGAAATTTCCAAGGTGCTACAGAAGTGATAGAGATGGAGGGGAGGGGGTATCTCGAGACTTCCTAGAGCAGCCTGGGATTAGAATTCAGTGAATCAGGCAAATGGTGGTGGGGGGGGGGACTGGTGATAGCAGGAAATAGGGAAGAGTGAACCAGAGGAGGAAGGAAGTGAGCAGAAGGCATACATGAGGAGCAGCTTACTTCTCAGGGCAATTGGGGCTCAGGTCTGCTCGGGAACATTAAGGAGCCTTGTAGAACACATCCAAATTGTTGCCCCCTCCCCTTCCCCCATCGGGTGATGACTGTGTCTTTCATGGGGGAGAACAGTCCTGGGGCAGAAGAGCAGATAAGGATCCCTGGCATGAGCTAGACCAGTAGGCCTCACACTTCAGCTGCATTGGGATCACCCCAAGCACTGACGGATTGCCATGCCCCGATCTCAGAGTTTCTGATTCACTGTGTCTGAGGAGGAACCCAAACATTTGCATTTGTGTACAGGTTCCCCAGTGCTGCTAACGCTGCTAAGGTGCCACACTTCGATAACCTCTGGGCTCACCAGGCACCTGAGCCAAAGCTGGTTGACTGAGGAGGCCTGGACCTCTGCCGTGTTGCAGACACCACCTATTTCGTGACAGGAGGGCTTCAGAAACAGAGAGGCAGAGGCAATAATAGTCTGCATTTGCTGTCGATTTCTGGGCGATGACATTGCAGCAAAAGCATCAACCTGGGTGGCTTCTGCTGCCTTCCCGGAGCTCCCACTCCAGAAGGACGACTTCTCTCGAGCAGACCAGAGCAGTGAGGGCAAGGACGGGAGAAGCTCAGTTCCCAGATCGGGACTGTCTGGGAGAAGCCCAGCCACTTCTGGGAGAAGTCAGGCTCTGTTTGGGGCACGGAGGGCGGGTGGCGTCCCAGAGGCAGAGTACAGCCCTTCCAAATCCTTGGGGAGTCCTGCTGGAAGAGGGGGGCCTTCACACTGAGACCTGAAGGATAAGTACTAACAAGGCTGATGGTCACAGGGCCCCCCCGTACTGTTTGCCGCTCATCTGTACCCTCGAACCACAGCATGTGCAGCTGGGGGGGGTCCCCTGGGGTACCCAGACAGTACTGTGCACGTGTCTGCATGTGCCGTAATCACTTACTAACTCTTGGAAGGGATCCTAGAGCATTGGTTGTTTGGGGGACTCCGCCTAATTGCTGCATTTACTTAATTGCAACATCTGGAGCAGGGGACAGAAGCAGCAGAAACAGCCACAGCAGGAAGAATGAGAAGCTGTGTGAGAGCTGAGGGCGCGCGCGGGAAGGGACTGCTCGTATCTACACACAGACTCTGCCCCAATTCACATGCATACGCAGAGGACACAGCTGTACTCACACATGCGTGTCACGGACCTGGAGGCTCACCCGAGTTTACACGGACCAACACAGCAGGCACGTGCCGCACACATCTGCCTTGACTCATATCCAAACGCAGGGGACACGCAAGGACACACAGACATCCCCCTCTGCAACACAGATTCACACTCAGACATGCGAGAAGTCACATGCAGAACCACACCATGCACATTCTGTTGCACACGTGTAAGCCACGCATGCACACACCCAAGAAACAGTCACACAAAACACAAGGGATGAGCACACACACACACACACACACACACACACACACTTACGCACACAGGCTCTCAAGTCAAGGAAATCTGTCTCTTGCCTAAAAGGGTCAACAGGGTTTATAAACTTAGGCCCCTTCAGCTCAGGAGCTCTCAGAACAAGGAGAGGTGGAGGTGAGCTTTTATCTGCAGCCTGTACCTAACAACCTAAGCTTGCCAGTGGGGTCCACTACCCTTGGCTCAGCTTTGTCATTAGCATATGAACCAGTACTGAGAATGAGAGACTCACTTTAAAGATCAGGCCTCAAGGTGTAGCCCCATATAGAAGCATCAGGAGAGCAGTAAATGTGCATAGACTCAGACAGGCACACTAACTACCCTAAATCAGACTTAGGGGTCCCAGGCAAGCACTGGCTTCCATAGGGAAGCCCCAAGACCCTGTGCGTGCAGCGATGCTTGACTGTCGTAGAGACCTAATGCACGCTTAAGGTCAAAGTGACTTCCAGCTGCCAGATGGAAGGAGATGTCCGGGAGAATATAGAGGAAGCTCTACACGTGCAGAACGTGGGGGCGTGCAGTAAATTTCAACTAGCAGAGACTTTCGGCCACTGAGTCCATCTGCTGTGTGAAGCTGACTACCCCAAGTGAGAATCAGAGACTCACTTTACAGTAGGATACTTACGCTTTATTAATATCAGGAGCCAGAGAGGAAGGGTCAGTGTGATGCCAGCTGCTATAACAAATCACCCCTGGATTTCAGAGTCTTCATTCACTAGCTTATGTCCTTCCATGGGTGTCATGCTTGGTGGCGTCTGTCCCCCTTCCAATGAGTCACTCATGACACGTTAATCATATTTATTTCCTGGGGTTCCGAATGAGCTGCTTTCACCTGGCAGATGGAATACAGCATAGATAAGTTTCACCAGCTTCTCAAAGTAAACTTGGCTTAAAGGTGACTGACAAACTTCCTTGCTGCCTGTGTTTTATTGGAAAAGTTAGTTCCATGGCCGTTGTAGATCCAAGGGGTAATTGAGGACACATTCCCAGGCCAAGCAACTCCCTCACAGCCACAGTTAATGCAGAGGGCAGGTTACAATGAACTCAACATCAGCGACATCAGTGCCCAACCTCAGCCTCAGGGGATGCAGAAAGAAGAGGCAGTGGGCTCTCTCCTACCCACTGCACCAAAGCTCCATCCAGCCCTACCCTGACCACCTACCCCACCGACTCAGGCCTCAGGGGTGAGTGAGCACAAAATTGACCCCTTTGAGGGCAAAGTGAATCTGATTCAACAAATCTTTATGTGATTTGTGATAAATGTCCAGCCCCAAGCATTTACTGAGCCCACCCAGTGCACCAGGACTGATGCTGGAAACGAGGCCACAAATTATAGTCCAGGTTTTGCATCTTCTCAGAAGGCAGAAAGAGAAGAGGTCACTCCAGAATCTGTGGTAGTTGCTGTGGTAGTCCACTGTCAACAAGATGAGGGGAAAAGGAGGGGCAAGGAAATCACCAAGTCAGCCTGTTGATGCTGGTGGGAGCTCAGTGGAGGGCGGCATTGAAGAGGCCCCCTGGGCCATTAAGGAAGAGGGCTTTCTGGCCTGAATGTCACCCCAGTGTGCAGAATCCCCTGCTCACCAGAAACCTCATGATTCCATTTCCGGCACAAACCACTACTGATTCCAGTGCTAATCAGAAATCTGACCCCTGTGAACGCAAATCCATGCTGATTCACGTGCTAATTATAAATCTATGCCAATTGTAAACTGTATTGGAGTAGACCTAAATTACAATAACGTGCCAATAGTCACCTGCTCAAAGAGCGCTCCACCTGCTAATGGCCATATTGAGTTGATTCATGTGCTAATTACAATCTTGTACAATTTAAAGAGGGATCAGAGAGTGTTTCCTAAACAGTGAAGAACAGCACAGGCTCTGAAGCCTGACAGCCTGGGTTCAAATCCCGTCTTTGTCATTGACCAGCTGAGTGACCCTGGGCCTCAGCTTCATTCCTGTAGTGGGGGTCGGGGGGAGTAGATAGTACTTCAAATGGCTGTTGGGAAAATTAAATACGATGATACACCTAAAGCCTTGGGAGCAGCGCCTTGCCTGTGTTTTACCCTCCAAGTACTAGCAATAATTATGATCATCATCAGCCAACAGCTACTGTGATGATTTCATTGAATCCCTATAACGGGTCCGACCTACAATTTCTTCACCCCTTCTTGATCCAGGTGTGGGGGCCTTTCCGGAGGTGAAAAGGCTTCCCAGACGTTCACAGGACGACCCTCTAGGTCCTCAGCCCCACACCCTGTCACCCACGCCCTGTCACCCACGCCCGGGCTAACTGCTCAGCCGCCACGCGGGGGCAGCAATATACCGCTCCTACGCCCTGCGCGGGACGCATTGTGGGGCGCGTAGTCTCGCGGGAAGCTTGGGCGTTGGCGCCAGTCCGCCAGGCGGACTACATTTCCCACAAGACCACGCGACACCCTCTGCCTCACCTTGCTCCAGTCTGGAGGCGGACGCCTCGCCCCCTCGGAGAGCGCGCCTCCTGCGCGGCGCAGGGGATTATGGGCTGTAGGAGCTGAGCTTCGCGCCCCTTAGAGGGGCTGCTGCGCAGGCGTGAGAGCGCGCCGGCCCTCTCTTAGCAGGTGGGTGGTTTCAACGTTCCGGCCCCGGGGCGGGCAGCTGCCAGAGCCGAAGCTATGGCTGAGATGGAAGCTGCACAGCTCATTACTCAAGGACGAGCGAGACTGGCTGGCCCACCGTCGTGTGTGCCTGCAGCCGGCTCGCCCCTCTTCTGCTCTCCTGCACCGGGGGGGGGGGGGGGGGGGGGGGGGGGGGGGGGGGGTTGGGGGGCCTTGTCACTTCTGGATCCTCTTTGCTCTCAGGTCTTAAGTGGAGGGAGGGGGAGAATCCCTTTTCCTTCACGGCAACCATTCCCCACCCCCATTTAAACCATATTATGGTAATGTTCAATCATGCACAAAAATAGAATAGTATAATGGTCCTCCAGGTACCCATCACCTTTCCTGACAATCATCAACATATGGCCAATCTTCTTTTTTCATCCTCCCCTTCCCGCTGAAATTAAAGTACATCCCAGACCTCATTTCATCCATAAATACTTGAACATACATCTCTAAAGCATAGGTCCTTAAGAAAACCCATGACTAGAACACCTTTATCACAGCTAAGAGAATGACTAATTCCTCAATCTTACCTAATAATCCTGTCTCCCTTATTGTCTCATAAACGTCTTAAATTTGTTTTCTTTTACTAACATTGTAACATTGCTTTACAACGTGGTATATGATTTAGGGAAATAGGGTCACCACGCCACCCTCATAATCTTGTAACTGTTGGTTTGTTCAAATCAGAATCCAAATCATAGCGGTGACATTGCATCCAGTTGGTACCTTTTTGTCTTTTGCTCTCTTAACAGTTTCTCACCCCTTTCGTTCGTCTTATAGTCTGATTTGGCTGGTTGCTCTTCTTGATGTGCGTTAATATGTTCTGCTGTACCCGTGTCCTGCAAAAGGGCAGATCCAGAGGGCGGGCCAGACTCAGGTTCAGTTTGGGGGTAAGTATTCCTTATGGGTGATGTCCAGTCCCTCCATCAGAAGAATGTCTCAGTGGGTCTGTGTGGGGGATGTTAATATCTGATGGAGACTCAGTGTTAAAAAAAAATTAGGTTAGAGGCGTCACAAAACCAGAAACTGATGGTGGGGTTAGAATGATGAACGTGGACCCTCCCTGGTGGCGCAACGGGTTAGGACACAGCACTGCAAGCTGGCTGCAGTCACTTGGATGTGAATCCCTGGCCCGGAGGTGACCCCACGTGGCACAGCAGACCTCTCCTGACCCGCCCACTGCTCCCCTCAGGAGTGGACTTCGTGGATCTGCCTATTTTGCTCCCCGCTCTGTCTCTGGTGAAGCCTCTCACCACCCCTGCACCTCTGGCTTGTACCCCCGTTGTGTATGAATAAATAAATCTTTAAACAAAAAGAAATAATGGATGTAGTTGCTAAACCAGTTATAGAAATGAAAAATCCTCAGAAGCCAACTGCGGTAACCGTTATCAGACTGCTATAGAAAGTGTGGTGGTGCAGACCAGAGGTAGAGCTACAGGGCCATTGTAGAGAATCACCTGTCCTTCCAAATCTACCTGGGCACACCACAGAAATAATTAACTTGGCAATAGGTAACAAATCCACAAAGGAATGAACTCCTCCCCCAAAGGAACACTGGAGCAGTACAGTTTCTACTCTGGCGAGAGGTAACCATGCCCGGACCCCAGGTCTATGCAGATATCTCCTTAAACCAGCCCCTCTCAGGGGAAGCACTTCCTGCCCACTTGTGTCTATGCCAATTGTCTTCTCCTTTCCATATGTATATAAATAAACAAATAATTATTTATATGCACACACATATACACACATGTGTGAACCATTTATATGTGTAGAGGTATATAATAAGACTACCCTTTGGATGTAACCAAGTCTTTGCCTGATGGGTAAACTTGCTACCTGCTGCTGAAAAGGGAATTCTGTCAGTGTTGAAACCTTCTCAGAGGTAACCCAAGGGTCCCCACTCACTGAGCCCCACATCTCCTCAAGATGCTTTCAGTACCTAATGTTGGCTATGAGTATTGTCACCCTGCACCATCCATTAGAAACCACAGACAGAGGCCCTCCCTGGTGGCACAACAGGTTAAAGTGCAGCACTATCAAGCTAGCTGCAGTGGCTTCAGCAAGAGTTCAATCCATGAGTTCGATCCCCGGCCAGGGACCTGACCCACATGGGGCAAGGCAGACCTCTCCTGACCCGCCCCCTGCTCCCCTCAACAGTGTACTTCATCAGTCTGACTGTTCTGCTCCCCACTCAGTCTCTGGTGAATCCTCTCACCTCCTGCACCTCTGGTCTGTACCCCAGTTCTGCATGCATAAATAAATAAATTTTAAAACGAAACCACAGCCAGACTTCAGGAAGGAAGTGTGCACAGGTTCTCCTCTCCATCTCGCTCCCTCTGTTTCACAATAGTGACACTTGTTATTGCTAAAGCTCTTTCTTCTTGCTAAACTCCAGGCAATTTTCCATCCTCAACTCACTGATCCTGCACTAACAGGCCTGTCCTGTGCTGTCCAGTGTGGTAGCCACTGAGCTGAGATGAGCTCTAGGGATAAAACACACATAAGGAGTTCAAAGCCTTAGGACCCAAAAAACTGAATGTAAAAAAAAAATAGCTCGGTAAGAAATATCAGTAACAGCCCGAGATGGTAGCATTTGGGATGTATTGATAATAAGATAGGTCAGTGACATGTTTGATTAAAATGGCTTTGACCTGTTTTTACAGGCCAAAAAACCTACTACTACTAGAAAATTTAAAATCACAAAAATGGCTCTCCTTTTTCGCTTAGAAAGTGTTCTTCTAGACCACAGCGTGGTCACAGCAGCAGCATCACATGACAACTTGTTAGAAATGCAAATGCTCTGTGGCCCAGCCCCACTGAACCAGAATCTCTGGGGACCTGACCCACCAACCTGCGTTTTAACAAGTCCCCCAGCCATGCAGGTCTGAAAACTCCCCTCCCGGTTTCCGACCATGGCCCACCCACATTTCACCCTTCACTGTAAGTTCTCATGCCATGCCTGTGTTCAGAAACATAAACTGGATCACGTTATTTCCCTGCTAAGAACCTTTAAACTACACCTTGTGGCGCTTCGGGTAAAATCCAGACTCCTTCCCTGTGGAAGCTTTGTCATGTGGCCACTGCAGCAACAGTGTCCCCAAATCCCCTTTCCTCATTCTTTAAATTTATTTATTCATATATTTACACCATTATTCATTGTAAAACAATGTTTACTTACCCCCTCAGGTGTAGAGCCCATAGAATTCCCTGTGCTCTTCCCTCCCTCCCTCTGACCTCTCTCCCGCCCCCCTTCCTGCAGGATGTCTCTGGTTTATATTGGCTGTTTAACAGGTTTTTGTTTTGTTATGTTATTATTTTTACCCTATGTCTTAGTTGGTTCCCCTATGTACCTCCTATAAATGAAACCATCTGATATTTTTCTTTTCCTTTTGATGCTTTTCACTGAGCGTGACCCCTTCTAGCTCCATCCATGTCGCTTCAAATGGCACGAGTTTATCTTTTTGATTGCTGAGTAATATTCCATCGCATATATGTACCACATCTTCTTGCTCCAGTTGCTATTCTAGGGCATTTGGGTTGTTTCCAGTTTTTACCTATTGTAAATAGTGCTGCCATAAACATAGGGGTCCCCTTCACTCCTTTTTTTAAAGTCATGATTTTTGTAGCTTTATAATTTTCTCT